TTAGATCAATAATAAAATAATTTAGATAATAATTAATATTAATATATTATATTGTTGTTTTGTAACGCTTTGGTATTAATAATAATAATATTTTATTATTATTATTATTATTATTATTATTATTAATAATAATTACTGATACTGTTTTTAAAATACATAAAATTGCAAAGTATTACAACAACAACAACAACATTATTAATAATAATAATAATGTTATATACTTTCATTGTTACATATTATGTAACTTAATTATAATATAATATAATTACTACTAATAATAAGATGATAATTTATTTATAAATAATAATTAATAAATAATTTTGGTATTGTTTGTAAAATGTGTAACATGGCAAAAAGTGATACAAAAACAATGACAACAACAGCAACAAAAACAACAACAACAATGATAATAATAATAATAATAACATTTATTCTTATTCTTATTAAGAAAAAAAAACAATGAAAACATTATTATTATAAAATGGATAGTTCTGGTCCTTGATTCTGATTGGTTGAGCCGCATTCGAAGCTGTTGTAAATTACTCTACAAACATACACCTTTGTTTACGTCTGTGTGTTTCTCAGCAACCACTTTGTTGCAACCACAACTGTTTCTGAGGAACTAGATTGTTTGAATAATGTTAAGAATAATGTTTTTATTAATATCATTACATTTTATTTTCTTAGTTTTATTTTGTGAAACCTTGCTACATATATGGAATGAACGTTTTATAAAAGCAATAAGCCCCGTGAAGCCGTGGTTTACTCTGTTCCGCGTCGTGCCTAACAACGCCCCTTAGCGGTTATAAATTCACTGTAAACCATGGCTTCTTGAGGCTTATTGCTTTAATATCCATTATACATATTATGTTTTTATTGTTGTAGTCTAAGGATCATGTAGTCATTATTGTGTAAAAACAAATCAGTTTTCGCACAACTAGGCCTACTTTTTAATATTAAAAATGTATCTGTATCGTATTGTTTGTTTATTGTATTAATAAATGTAAATGTAAAATAGAACAGAGTCCAGTTTCATTTTATATTCACTTTTCTATGTAAGGGAAGTTTTATGTTCATAACAATTTTGGTCATCATATTTTATTGTATTTATAACAGGTTTAAAATGCTGCTCTTGCAGAACCCTAAACATAAAAGTACTGTAGGTGCTTTAGGATTTCAGAATCACATATTTTGAAATGGGATTCTCTGTTATTCCAGAACTCCAGGCCAGAGACGAGTCGAGGTGATTCCTCACTTTGATCTCCTCTGTGCTGCCTGCCGGATCGGGAATTCTTGAGCTGTAGCCCATTTGAGGAGGGTTTGATGCGGTCTTTGTTCTACAGCACACACACACACTGTGCTTGTTTCTCGGGCTGTGCGTGTGTCACATCTGTAGAAAAGGTCACAACTGGGACTTTATTTGCATAATACCTCGGGCAGTTGCACACATGGAACACATTTTCAATGTTGACCCCTTGGTCCTGATTGGATCAAATGAAAACAGAGCGATATTCAATTGCACACAATCAGATCATATTCAATCTCGTCAGAACCAAAGATATCTTTTTCAGTGGAAAAATAGGATGATGTGAAATCCAGCCTGTGGTCGTACAGATACGAGGATATTCCTGCCACAGATGGCTCAAGTATTTCTGTCCATCACATAAAAATCACATCCCTAGGGGGCGCTGCTTACAGCCGCAGAGTGAACGAGTGGGACAGAGGGAAAGTGTGAGGTGAGAGGAATGTGTTTGATGGAAAACGCAGCTGGGCGGCCGATTGTTCCAAACTCATCAGTCATGCTGGGGCCCACCAGCAGCAATTTCTCTCTCCCCCTTTCTCTCAGCCGCTTTCCCGCTCTCACAAACCACTGTGAATCTCCTCACAAAACTACTTCACACACACAACACCTGCCTCTGTGATGAAAGCCAATATATTTCTGCTTAACTTGACTAATATAAACCATCGCTTATCTTTAATGAAGGATTTTAACTCCTAAAAATGCCAGCGTCAAACTGGGGATAACCACATTGACCCCTCTGATTCAGGTCTGCCATTTCTTTCCTCCCTCCTTGTCTCTTTCTATTTCTGTTGCAAAATACAGACTCTGTTTTTTCTCCGACAGCCCAAACGCCAAGATTAACTGGGCTTAAAGGATGCTAGAAATCTTTTTGGGACATTGGCAGTGACTGTGCTAGAATGTCTAGTGCCTGTAAGGGAACTGAAGACATTGATCGGTGCGGGTGAGCAGTACGATCGGTGTCGGCCCTCAGTCAGGGAGATTCATGGCAAGCAAACTGTATTTACAGTCCAACAGGAACAACTGGTGACAGCAGCCCTAATTTAGCACAAATAGGGAGGCTTTACATAACACATCAACAAACAAAAGACTGCCAAGAGTCCAAATAGCTCTGTTGTTTTGATTTCCACAATATATCTTTATGGAGACTGCTGAGTTCAGGTGTGGGTGTGGGTGTGTGTCAAGAGTGAATCTCACGAAACATGTCTAGGAATATGTCCTTGTCATATTTTTTCCGAAATGCAAAATAAATAGGAAATTAAATATTTTTGCTTAGGGATTTACTGATTAATAATTCTGGGAAGTAACAGTAAGCTGATCATTATTTTCATTACTGATTTATGATTTTAAGTTTCTACCGTTTTTAATATAAAACGCATGTAAAGAATTTAATTTAGGCATCACTACATTATTTCAAGATGTGTGTTATCTATACATACTAAGAATGTACACTCGTGTGACGGAAATGTTACGCCCCTTACCATACTGTGATGCCCTGTCCGGCCGGAGCAATGAGACAAAATCATTAAAACCCATTCTAAACGAGGCATTTGTTGTATCCAGTGGCGACATAATTACAGATTATAATGACTTAAACTGTCATTATACGCGTTGCGTTGCATCGCGCCGCGTAAACATAAAACCATGTCTGCATTTGTGATCGGAGAAATGACAAACAAGCGCTACTCTACACTGCTCAAAACTCGCGTTTGAATCTTCAGTGGCAAATTCTTTAAATATAAAAACCGTACTTACAGTCTGTGAGTCAGAACAGCCGGCATTGTAGTCTACTCTAGCAGGATCAGGAAACAGTCTTCCATAAAATGTGTGGCACACATCTGAATAATTGGGTTGAACTGTTCTGGAACAGTGTTGTAAATACAACATAACCACAGATTTCTAGTCGTGTCCTCTTTTGGAAGGCCAAACAAAGTAGTTTCGCTTTCACAACAAAACACACAGCGTCACACATGGCGGGCTAGAGTGAGCGGAGGCCGGCGGGCTTGAGAATGGCGCGGCCGGCAGATTTGACGAAGGAACGGCCAGCGGGCTTGCAGCAGCCACATGTGACAATCCCGGGCTGGACTCCGCTTTGTCCTCGGTGAAAGCCGATCTGGCGATCCACAGCGCGAAGTTGATGTATTTCCTCAGCGACCAGCACGGATCAGCTCAAGGCATGACGAAGCGGATATCGTCCTCTTTTGGAAGGCCAAACAAAGTAGTTTCGCTTTCACAACGAAAGACACAGCGCCTTCACGACAAGGCAGCAGCAACAATACTACAGCGAGAATAAAAGTTACGCATTCTTTCTTTGCGTGAACATTTGGGTGGCGTTATGCAAATTTTCCCACATCGTGACGTAGATATGTGGGGGCGTGTTAGAACGAGCCGTTTTAGGTAGGCGTAGTTGACTCTTAACTTTTATAAAGAATATCTCTTTGGATTTGAGACTTTAGTCTTTGCAACTTTACAGATCTTCTTTATGCACCGAGAGCTTGTAACATTTCAAAGAGAAAGGAAAAATTGAAATCGCATCATATGACCCCTTTAATGTACATCTAGAACGGCTGCAGATGTGGCATTAAGTGCATGACCCTGCGACCAACTTAACATTTTACAGAGTTTAATGTAGCAATGTGGTCGCTCAGTTTTGCTAGATTTGTTTTAATTGTGTAATAGATTTGAACAAAGAAATCAAGTGCTACACACATGTATTGGCCACTTGATTGCAAATACAAATACAAAAATTAGATGAGTAAAGAAAGTGCGGTACTTATTAAAAGAATCACCCCTTTAAAATATATGAACACAGGAAACCGCTGTTAACAGGTTAATGTAACATTGTTTCCCATTCCATGACTAGTAAAATAATGGCAACTTACTGTCTGTATACTATTGAACATGGTTCTTCTCGGAGTAGCTACGCGTGCTGCAACTTCTTCTTGTTTAACAGGTGTCAGTGTTAAGGCACAATACTGTTTTAAAACGTTTAAAAATCAATTAATAAAATTACCAGTAATATATTGAGCATTCCTGATTTTGCCTGTAAAAAAAATATAGCAAATTTTTTTTACAAATTTTTTATGTTGTATTAATTTTTTTGTTTTGATATTATTTTATGATAAGTATGCGTATACCTGCCCCTTTAGTATTTCTATCGTATTGCATTTTTGTAACACTTTTGTTTTGTGGTGTCTTTGTTACACATTACATCTACTCACAAGAGTAATAACAATAGATTATGCATAATTACAATCAACTAACCCTAACCCAATCCCTAATCCTAATCTCTTTGGATTTGAGACTTTAGTCTTTGCAACTTTACAGATCTTCTTTATGCACCGAGAGCTTGTAACATTTCAAAGAGAAAGGAAAAATTGAAATCGCATCATATGACCCCTTTAATGTACATCTAGAACGGCTGCAGATGTGGCATTAAGTGCATGACCCTGCGACCAACTTAACATTTTACAGAGTTTAATGTAGCAATGTGGTCGCTCAGTTTTGCTAGATTTGTTTTAATTGTGTAATAGATTTGAACAAAGAAATCAAGTGCTACACACATGTATTGGCCACTTGATTGCAAATACAAATACAAAAATTAGATGAGTAAAGAAAGTGCGGTACTTATTAAAAGAATCACCCCTTTAAAATATATGAACACAGGAAACCGCTGTTAACAGGTTAATGTAACATTGTTTCCCATTCCATGACTAGTAAAATAATGGCAACTTACTGTCTGTATACTATTGAACATGGTTCTTCTCGGAGTAGCTACGCGTGCTGCAACTTCTTCTTGTTTAACAGGTGTCAGTGTTAAGGCACAATACTGTTTTAAAACGTTTAAAAATCAATTAATAAAATTACCAGTAATATATTGAGCATTCCTGATTTTGCCTGTAAAAAAAATATAGCAAATTTTTTTTACAAATTTTTTATGTTGTATTAATTTTTTTGTTTTGATATTATTTTATGATAAGTATGCGTATACCTGCCCCTTTAGTATTTCTATCGTATTGCATTTTTGTAACACTTTTGTTTTGTGGTGTCTTTGTTACACATTACATCTACTCACAAGAGTAATAACAATAGATTATGCATAATTACAATCAACTAACCCTAACCCAATCCCTAATCCTAACTCTAACCCTGTAGTTAATACTACAATATTTTTTAATTAATATTGCGCAGTACTTCATTGTATAATTGCGCTGTAACAAGGGCACCTTCGAATAAAGTGTACCAAAAAAAATTTGTTAACTTTTTTTAACTGAATCATTTTACTGTATGACAAGAATTTTGGAGAAATCTATTTTGAATGTCTTAATTATTACAATAATAGAGAGAGGCTTCATTTTGTGTAATTTTTTTTAAGTACTCTAAAATAATTAAATAAAAAAATAATTTGTTTTATCTTTATCCCTGTTATTTTTGGGTAAAATGTGACATGGACCTTTATTTATTTGTGGAATTCATCTGCAAGAAAATAAAAATAAAAAAAATCATAAAAATCAAATATCGAACCATGTGTGTACTGTAGGTGAGGTTTGAATGTGCCAGGCAGTGTGTTTTGGATTATGAAGCGTTGACCATTAGGAGCGGTGTGTGACCTTTTACTCGGGGGTCAGATTCTTTAGGCCCATGTGCTGTTTGATGAACTTTCTCTGGTCACATAAGGAATACATATATTTCCCGTTTCTGCTTGCTTCTTGTAAAGGTGCTGCCCTTTGTAATCGTCTACCACAGCTGTCCCCCCCCCCCCCCCCCCCCCCCCCCCCCATGCCACATGTTGCTGGTGGTCTTGCCCACAGTATTCATTACTTCATTAAGTGTGTTTGGGTGGGGAGAGCCCCTCTGTTTTCCCCATCAGACCGGATGCTGGTATATATGTGGGTGTGTGAATGTGTGCTCCAGCAGGGCAGATTTACTGCAGCTGGCTGTGACCATCAGAGCTGTGGGCAGTAGGCTGGTGCTGCTGTTTCTGGGTGGGGTCATCCCGGATCTGAAACCCCACATCTAGAGATTTGCTTTCTGTCTGCCAGCTCGCTGCAAAGACCGCTATGCCGCAATTTCACGGCCGGTAGTGTACGAGGGCGGCTTTGTGTGAGTCCTGACAACTGGCCTTGAGGTATGTGTGTGTGCAGGGCAGTTTGAGATTTTGTACCGGACACGTTGGCCCTATGAGCGCTTGCAGAGGAAGTGCGAGCCGGGAGATACCGAGCAGGATTTGGACGAGCCTCCGATGGACCCAAATGTTTCTGTCTATCCGCTGCCTGTCTTTCTGGTGTCTCTTTGTCAGGGGCAGAGTGTTGGGCTCGTGTCGGGGGCCGGAGAGGAGCATTTCCCTCCGCCGCAGCCGACCCCACATCGCCCTCCGAGGCCCTGCTGCAGGGGTGCATGCGGAGGAAGAGCCCTGCTCCTCATTCCCGCTTTGCTGCTCCTGCTTCTGGGACTCGGAGCCTGTTTGCTGCTGCTCCGCCGGGCTCTGATTCAAGGGGCCGGCCACAGCAAGGAAGTCGACTGGCTGGATCTTCTCAGGGGAGAAGATGAGGAGGATGGGCTCGGCTCGGATGATGCTCTGTGGATGCACAGCACCCCCGTGTCATCCTTCCGATGGTTCCCAGAGTCTCTACCCACACTTGCCCCGGGCACGGCCTCCTCCGAGCCTACCTCCAGCCCAACGAGCACCCTTGCCCTCACATCGCCCAGCAGCGCCCCACCCCCTCTGGGTAAGTGCCCCGAGTCTTGCTTGTTTACACATGCGTCCTGTTATGCAATCGCAAGCAATAGCACGCTTTGATTTCTCAGAGTCGTCTGTGAAATGATTGTGGAGGACAAGACCAGACACATCAGCTATGCAGCAGGAAGCAGGCAATAGAGGAGAAAAATAAAGACCTGTTAATGAAAAGGAAAAAATACAGGACAGAGTTCACGCTAGGCTTCTGTTATTCTTGCTTTTATTCTTTCTTTTTGCTGTTATGGTGGACTGAGGTTAAAGAGTACCCTCAATGTCATTTTCTGAAGTCTCCATGACTCTTACATTGGGTTTTTTGAACATTATGATTAGAGTCGTAGAGTTTCTTTGAATGAAACGCATTTTAGATTTGGCCTCCTGCCTAAACAGCGACTGGAAAGACTTCGACATGTGACTCATGCTTTCAGTAAGCTTCCTTTGAACTTCTAAGTATGTTGTATGCAAATTTTGTATCTAATTGTCTTACCTGCTTGTTTTCATGCTTGTTCAGCTGTTACGGAAGAGTCCGTTGCTTATACTGTCTTTAGGTGTAAATATTGAGGTTTTATTCTATGAACTGGATTTCCCCCCCCCATCGACTGGTCCAATGTCACTTTTTACAAGGGTTTAAGTAAACATCCAAATACCGGATCACTATAGCAATCGCGCTTCAGGGGAAGCTCTGTTTCCTAACAGGCTTGCCTTTTGTTGCTGGTGTGCGTCGTCGTTAATGCAAACATGAAGAGTCTCAAGTCTGCACTGAAGGTCTTAAAGAGATAATAGATTACACAGGGCCCTTAAAGCACTGAAGAATGCACCCACACCACAGCTGTATTCTACATTCACTGCACATATGTATTTGTTTTACTACACATTTCTACAAGAATGCACTTGAAAGGGAATTACGTAAAATAGCACATAGGATTACATGTTACCTATAGGGATTATATGTTAGCTTGTGTGGACCTTAATATGAAATAGCTGTACTTACAGGTTAACTTGCTAAACTTACTTACTATTTTATTCATTTATTTATTTATTGAAAATAAGGGGAATTCTCTAACTTGTGTTTGACATTTCATTTGATTTTTAAAAATTTTTGTGAATTTGCGCTCTTGCTCTTGAGCACGCAAACATGCATACTTGCTTACAGATAAAACAACATCAGCTCCACAGTTGAGCGCCAGTCTGCGACACAATCAAAACACCACTGACATCTGAACTCTTGTGCCCTGCAGTGCACCAAAGCTGTTGCTACAAAACTGATAGTGTGATCACAGTTTTTTCTTTACTTGCTCAGGGCCATATGATTTTGTTTAGAGGCTTTTAATAAATGCAGCGGTGCACATATAAATGTGAAATTGAGAAGACCTCTCTGAAAGGCTTTGGCAACCCCTTTAAACAAAAGGGATGCACATAATGGTTTTGCATAATGGAAAGCACTCAAAAGCTGTAAGATTGCATGCTGTATAAATTGACCTCTTGTGCAGTGATGGGATTTTGCTCCCAGCTGTAACAAGAGACATCTCCAGTAAGAGGGGGGTGAGACAGTGTGCTGGCACAGGGGGTTGACCATGGCTTCACTATCATGATCTCTCAAGCATCATTTGTCAGCTGCTGGAGCTTTTTTAACTTTTTCTTTGGCTCTCAAGCTACCACAGGGCGTACCAGAAATGTGGATGTAATTTGAACTAGCGGATATTATTTGTTTTCACCCCTCAAATAGCCCAAATGTTCTGAGTTGTTTTTGTTTGGGCTCCCAGAAACCCGAGTGATTAATGTGTAAAATAATAGTAATTTTGTAATTAACTTATTTATTTTCTCTTCCAATTATTTTAATATGATCAAGACCCATTTGACATATTTTTTGTAATTCTTTAATCCTCTGTTGTAGCACATGCACTTCTCAGAGATGCAGCTTATCTATTTTAAAATAGACAGAATCTCGGAGACCTCCAAAATAGATATAGTTACATTTGAAGCATGTTATCATGTTGAATTTATGTTCATAATCAGATCAACAAAATTTGGAAAGTCATCAACCTGATATTCCACTGTTAAGTTTTTCCAGCTATTAAGCTATCAAGTCTCTGAGATCATAAACAGAGCATGAGGGTTAAGCATCCAATTAATAGAAAGGCAACAAAATGCCGCAACCACCTGTCGGACGTCCCTGCACTTACGAAATGACTCGTTTGGACTCTAATATAAAAGACTCTCAGCAAAGGGACCTCTCCTTTCATTTTTTTATGACTTTCCTATAACCCTTTGGAGAGTGCAGAAAGATAGACATGTTTATGAAGCTTTCCAGATGGCCCCGTTTTGCCCCCACCCAGGCCGTCTTTTCAGTTCCTTGGCCATGAAGGATTAATCAAACTCAGGGCTAAGCTCACTGGCCAAACCCTTGGGTTTTCAGGCAGGAGAAAGTGACCTCTCATGGGAGCCATAGTGAAAGTTGCTTAGTGCGTGCCATTAAGAACTTGAAGAATTTGGCCTTTTGCATGTCAGAAATAGAAATGCAACCTGGCTAGTGAGCATGAGGCTTGGAAAGTGACCTGGCACTGTAGCTGAATGTAAAAAAGATAGTCAGTGTGAAGCTGGATAAACAGCAATTGTCAAGGACTGTAGTTAAACTGACCTTGTTAGCTTGGAATGCTTTGTTGATCATTTAGCGTGAACTGTATCATGGCTAGCCTAAGTCTGGTTTAGTTTAGCAACAACAATCCAAAGAAACCGACTTGTTTTCTATTTAGTAGCTCTTTTCTACTTATTTTCGCAGGATTTATTTGTAAAAGGTTTATTACTTTGCTGAAAAATGCTGGTTGGCTGGTCTTAGTTGGTTTAAGCTTGTAAAGCTTTCTCCTAGCCTGACTAAGTTGGCTTTAAATGGTTATTTAGCTGGTCTCCCAGCTAGGACCAGCGAAACCACCTAAAGAATGTCCAAACCCTTCTAAAACCAGCCTGCTAAACCAGCTATGACCAGGCTTGAAGCCAACAAGCTTAGTCTGGTTTCAGTTGTTTTTTCATCAGGGTAGCACTTGTAACCCTGGTTTTATTATAGTAAAATATAAATAATGAAAATATGAAAAATATGAATTAAACATTGAAGAACAGTAAAAGTTATAATGAGTATATTATATGGTGCATATATTTAGCAAAATGTCTCTCTCTACAGTTTATTTTTCTTGCTGACTAATGAGTTTATGGTCACCGAATGTGTTTTTTTTCCTGAGGTAAATGTGACGTTACGTGACATTGTTTACAAGCTGTTATATCGACACGGCTGAGATACTGATTGAGCGATTACATGAGACGGGATACGGATTTCTTTTAACTTATCTTCAGATGTTTAGTCATGTTTATTTTGTGCTGAAACTGGTATTAATGTGGAGGAGATGATCAGCTCTTGGGATTTAAGAATCAATATCGTTTCGGAAAAATAAGAATCGATTAAAATCGAGATATTGATATTTTTCACCCAGCCCTACTAAGCAGTGAAGGTTTTGCTAGTTAGCATTTTTTTTATTTTTAGTAGTAAGTTGTTATAATTGTTTGCATTTGTGTGATGCCATTAGTCTATCAGCCTTGTAATTTTTCCTGAGTTTTCCTGCAGCTCCATAGTGATTGGTCACATGACATTTGCAGCTTAAGTGATTGTCTCGCAAAGTTCTGCTCTCTTATGCAACAAATATGACAGCAACTTGCTTTGAGATGAATAGGAATGCTAACGTATAGTTTTGTCCAGGTGATGTACTTAAACCACCTTGGGCCTTACCCATTCTCTCTCTTTGCTTCACACTTTCCCCACTCCACCTCATCTTCCTGGCACAGGCTGCCTCAGCAGGTATTTGTTGAGTTTTCCCAGCTCTCCAGCAGACAGCTGATGGGAGCCTCAGAAACATGAGGGAATATTGTACAGGCGTGTAGCTGTCAGAGCTCAATTACTGATGGAGGGAGATTTTTGAAGTGTATCACTAGACCAGAGGCATAAACATGACAGACATCGGCAGAATTACCCCACAGGCTGCTGACACGCCGATTCTTCCTGCAGCTTTGGACTCTTATTAATCTGACTGTCAGAGAGCGCTTGGAAACTTTCCGTTTGGAAAAGTCCAAATTTATGTAATGCATAAAACAAGAAGGAAATTTAAATGAATAGCACACAGCTGTCCAATTTCAGCATGTTTTGCATGCGCCGGAACGCTTGCTTGCTTTTGCATCATGCACGTCGAAATTCATGAAGTGAATATCATCTTAATATAACAAGCTTTGCAGTGCACCCCTGTTCACCCTCAAGGGGATAAACAGTCGACTGTAAGGAATACATACGTGCCCGCTCATGGAGCTCTAGGGGAGTATGCACATATTTTAAAGGCCGGGCTGGATGTTCGAGTCTCTGGATGTGGTCTTTATGAGGCTCTGAGGGCAGCTCTCACAGGAACGCTGATTTAATGTCTACGGGATCCATCTTTCCATCCAAGGTAGCTGAGTCTTGTTGAGCGTGCTGTGTCATTAGTGGGGTAAACAGGTGCTGAGATGTTCTAAAATTCTCAGCAGGCATAGAGGGGCGGAACAGGGGTGGCATGGAACGTGTGCCTCCCAGCAACCGGCTGGATCCCGGCCAGCCCGTATCCATGTTGTTGAAAGGAGTGTTATTATAGTTGTATATTACTGTTGTTTCCTCTCTTCCACTTGAATGCCACACAGCTGAGTGAGTTTAGAAACATAAACATTTGAAAATGTTGCAGGACGGTTGAGTTTTTTTTTTTATTTTTTATTTTTTAGACATGTGGTATTCAGATCTGTGGTATCCAAACCAAAAAAACAAACAAAAAAAATTGTTTTTTTGGGCAGGACTGTCTGTTTGTTTTGGCCAGTGGCAGACTTGTTCTGGAAACCTGTCTGAAAACAGTCAATATTGTTAAAATTCCACATTTTGAAAGGCAAAACTTAAAAATAATAAATAAATATATAAAATTAAGTAAAAAAATCAAGCATTTTATAACAAAGATGTCAGTATTTACTGTGAGAAACATCTATAATTAAAAACTGGTAGATAAACTTGTTAGCAGAGTAAACAAATGTTACTGATTTTGCAGACCTCTGCTGTATTCACGTCAACAAAATTGCACGAGATGTTCGGGCGGGACTGTCTGGGGGCAGCAGACGTGTTCGAAAAAACCTGTTTGAAAACAGTCAATATTGTTACAATTCTGTCTATTAATGGTAGTAGTGTAGAAATTGCACATTTTGAAAGTCAAAACAAAAATAATAAATAATTATATATAATTATGCGAAAAAAGCATGCATTTTATAACAAAGATGTCACCGTTTGAGCACAGGTACTGCAAAAAACATCTGTAATTAGTAGGGCTGTGAATCTTTGGGTAGACAGCGAATCGATTCAATTCACGATTCATAGGTTTTCGATTCGATTCATGGACGATTTTTGCAAATTCACAACGATTCAGTTTGATTTGATTCACAATTAAATTCGATTTGATTCTGCATTCTTTAAGTGTAGTCTTTGAGCGTGAGATCACTTCTCTTTCAGTGCGAAAACTTCATCTCATTTTCATAAAATAAAATGCTATAGTATTTAACTTTTCCTCTCCATCGACAAATGATGATTCTGAAAGAAAACACGCCTGATGTCTGTTTGCTATAGCAACGAACGCTACTTTAATGCATCTGATTATCAGATAAACCTTGCGCTCTTATTTCAAGGTTGTTGTTAATGCTGTGGGTATTCCTTCGTACATTCGGTTGAAGGACATTGTTAAAACACATTTATTTTTCAATGGAACTGTGCGTATGCTTTAGACACTTAAATTTTTGCTCCGTCCATGCAATAAATGTGCAGCCTTCGACTGCTCAGGTAATGTCGTCGTCGATATGACCGAGAGCCATTGAAAAACTACAGAAAAGTAAAACTACTTCACTTTAGCATTACTGGCCACGAGTACTAAGGAGAGATCACACATCATTTGCTCAAAAAATGTGTCAGTGAGACTAACGGAGCGCGAGCGCAATCCTGTGACAGTCACCGCAGGCGGTACATAGTGGAGCGCGTGAAGGAGAGATGTGAGGCACGAACACTGTTCAAGGTCTCTATTAATTCCTGCTTTTAGTAATTTAATGTGTATATATTTTGAAAGCATTGAATCGCTATAGAAATCGTGATTCATTCAATTCTTAGCGTTTTAAATCGATTACTGTCCGAAATCGGCGATTCACGATTCAAAAATCCATGTTCAAGATCGATGCATTGCATCGTCAGGGTTTGTAATCGATGCATCGATAAAACGAGTGAATCGTTACACCCCTAGTAATTAGATAAACTTGTTGGCTGAGTAAACAGAGCCCACAATCAGATGTTACTGATTTTCCACACCTCTGCTGTATTCACTTCAACAAACTTGCATGAGATGTTCTGTAAAATCATTTGTTTGGGGTCGGGACTGTCTGGGGGCAGCAGACATGTTCTGGAAACCTGTTTGAAAACAGTACATTTTCTTACAATTCTGTTTAATGATGCTAGTGGTGAATAAACTGCGCATTTTGAAAAATAAATTAAAATAAATTAATGCAAAAAAGTAATGGAAGAGTTTAAAAATTGTATAACAACAGTTTCTGCAAACTGTAAATAAAAACAAATGAATAAACTTAGCTCAGTAAACAACGGACGTACACTCAAGTTACGCAAGACCACCACAACCAAATGTTACTGATTTTCCACACCGCCTGCTGTATTCACTTCAACAAACTGGCACGAGATGTTCTGTAAGCTGTCTAGGGTTCCAGAGCCACACAATGTGATTATTACTTATACATAAAAGCACAACCTGACTAGACATGCACTTTCATGAACATGAAATCAACAAGAAAGTTCAGAAACTCTCTGCCCCTAAAATTCAAACCTTAACCGGTGCTCTGATTTCATGTGATTTGATGTGGTAACATTAGTACCTCTAGATCATGTTTGATATCAGGGAGGGCCCCGATACGCCTAGAGTGCACTTCCACATCTGCTAACGTTTCTCTTTTCTTGGCCTGACTACAGCCGGGTGTTCAACACGTGTATGTGTGGGGTTGCCAGGGTCCTACGATGAGCTGCTCTTGGTTGGAAATCTGCAGCTCTGGACTGTGAGATTTTTTTCATTTGCAGAGTGAAAGAAAAGAAGAATAAGATGGCAGATTTCATTCTCAGCAGAATTTCTAGCCTATGTTGTTTGAGGCCTAAGGCAACGCTTAAGAATATTCCCTTCAAATGTTCATTTTCACTCTTTTCTTTTCATTCAAAACCAGACACTCTTCAATCATGTCTGAATGCAAACGTAGAAAAAAAAAGAAAAAGAAAAAATGTCCATTTATCCATTAAGTTTTTTGTTCTTTAAGATATCTTGCAGTACTGTTTAAAAATGTGGGGTCAGTTACTTTTTTTTTTTTTTTGGAACAAAACTAATACTTTTATTTTGCAAGGATGCATTAAATTGATCAAAAGTAACAGTAAAGACTTTTTTACGTTGTTAGAAAAAAAATCTAATTTCTAATTTTCCAAAAAAAAATGCTGTTCTTTTGAACTTTCTATATATCAAAGAATTCTGGAAAATGTACCATGATTTCCACAAAAACAGCTGTTTTCAACTGTGATAAACAGTAAAATAGTAAACATTTCCTGGGCACCAAATCAGCATAATTAGTCCGATTTCTGAAGGATCATGTGACACTGAAGACTGGAGTAATGATGCTGAAAATGTTGCTTTGCCATCACAGGAATAAATTACATTTTGAAATATATTAAAAATAGAAAACCATTTCTGTTATTTTAAATTGTAATAATATCTCACAATATTATTTCTTACTGTATATGGTTGCATTCTATCATTCTGAATGTTGTCTCTCATGGAATAAGAGAGAAGTCTGACACTGAATTGAAAATCTGCCCTTCACAATCAAATTTCAACGTTTTGGGATTATGTGAAATTTTACACAAAGAAATGCTTATGCTATGTTTAGCCAACTGATTCAACACACTTAACTGACATGTTCATGTAATCTCACAGAAGAATAAACGTTTGGTTGGTGGTCTGCAGTGGAGGGTTTCAAACATGAATCCAGACTCGAGTAAAATGAATATTCCTGATTGTTTTCGACCTTAGAGTGATGTACCATATGTGTGGCATGCTGTCAGTTACCTCAGACCATAATTTCAGGGGCATAAATGGACCTTTTTGACCCTTTATATATAATATGTTTCTTGAGAAAAAGCTACTTTTGAATGGTTCTCAGTGCTGAAAGATGTTTTTTTTGCTCCCTAATGGTGTAGTAACAACATCTGCCAGCAGGGGCGAACTGAGTCACGCTAACCAGCAAATCTAACAACATTAGTTTGGATATCACAATATTTCTTTAATTACATAAATAACGGCGGGCTTGATGTGGTGAAGCCATGCCGTAAAAATAGCTGGAGGAGACATTTGTCTTTTTCGTTGTGATTAGCCAGATTAAATAAGCATGTTCCTTCTAAACATTTGCTTTGAACGCCGTTTCAGCGTGACAAAGATGCTCCACTGTGCGGTGCTAAACAGAAACCATTGTGTGTTTGAAAAAGCATCAATTGGATGGTGATGACATGAGTGTTTGTAGACATGTTCAGTTTAACAGCGGTGAGAAACAGCATAGGTATGCGCATAATGTGGCTGCGGGAAACAGTTTGCCCTGTCAATCTTCACATTTCTGCTTTTGATTACAAATTCAATAAACATATTCATGCGCCCCATTGTACACCCCTTGAATTGGTACCAAAGGTAAACAAACTGCTGTCAGTATGACCGTAATGTGATTTCGCCATTTTCTCCAGGCCTCTCATTTTTTCGTACCCATGAGGTGCAGTATTCCTAAAACATGTTGAACGCAGCAGGTGGTGTGGTGTGGTGTGAGGGGGGGGGGGGGGCCCGGGGCGCCCTGAAA